AAAGCATCTGCTAAATGACTAAATGTAAATGTAAATGTAAATGTAGATAGATAGAAATAGATAGATAGATTCAGTTGGCTTCAGTTTTTGTTTAGATTTTTTTTTTGGCTTTCTCAAGCCAACTTAATAAATACATGAGTAAAATGACACAAAAATCAGTAATTTTGCAAAACCAATACATTGAGGTAAAAAATAAATTGATAGATAAATAAAAATGGTCAAGCAATTTTAGAATTTTTGGACCACTAGAGCTGACCCTCTTAATTTTGTTTGTACTACTATGAACTCATTTTTGTGTCACTGATGTGTGATAATCATACTGTGTTTGCAGATGATTGGCTGCTTGTGGGGACCAAACCAGGCCATCTCCTTCTGTACAGGATCAAGAAAGATGCAGGTGCATAGTTTATGTTTGCACCTGTGCTTATAGCTTCAGTCATTTGTGGAGTTTATTTTTAAGTTGAAGTGGCAATGCCTTTTAATAATAATATAATTAATAATACATTTTATTCACAGGTACAAACAGGTTTGAAGTTACATTAGAGAAATCCAATAAGAACTTCTCAAAGAAGATTCAGCAGGTATGCACAGATAGAGAAGTCCATCCAATTAAAGGATTAGTTCAGCCAAATTTTGTCATTATTTACACGCCATTATGTTGTTCTATTATGTCATCCATGAATAATACTTAATGTTATGCCTGTTTCCCACACAGAGCTATCATATGATTTCAAAAGACTATTGACTATGGTGTTCTTTGGTCTTTTTTTGAGTTTGAGTTTATGGGCAAACTGCATGAAGGTTCTTCAAAAATATTATTATAATTATAATTATTTTTTTTTTATTTACATACGTCATGAGGGTGGAATAATAATGACAGAATGACTGTGGTGAGCTATCTTTAAAGGAACAAGTGTTGATTGCTGCTTCTAATATTTGTTTTTCTATTTCCTCTCAGCTTTTTGTGGTGTCACAGTACAAGATTTTGATTAGTTTGTTGGGTAAGTATGTTTTCCAGATTTGTTTAGTCAACGACTACTCAGATCCTTCAGTTTACATGTGCACCAATAATGTGATTATTTCCAATAATGAAAAGGATTGACTCCCAGTGAAATGATTGCATGACACAAACAAACCTCCCGTTTACATGTGATTTTCATTATTCTGATTATTCGCTAAGAAGTGTGGTTATTTTTACCGCCATTATTCACATACCCCGATGCACAGCACAAATGATGAACTCGCATGCAGCAGGTGTGTTACTGGCCACTGTTTTAATCTACTTTAATCAAATGCAAAACACACTTCTTTAGGGGCATTGATGAACATTGAAGTGTGATAGCAATGCTGCTGTAACTGGGTTTGCCTATACTGACCATCGCATTATTTTCTGAATGAAGATTCAGCAGAGACTGGTGGCAGCATGTTTTGTTGACAGAGTTCAGCAATTTGGAGTGGAGGGAAACTTCATTCAAGCACAAACACATGCATACTTTAGTCAGAGTGGTATAGATGTGATTAGAGGTGTTTACATGCCTGTTTATTGCGATTAAAATTGGCATATGCCGCATAATTTACTCCGATTATGAGCTCAAACGCATGAATTTGATCAAAGTATTGGCTTTACATGAGGTAATTGTTAATCGCGATATTGCGATATAATCACATTATGAGGGTGCACGTAAAAGTAGTCATATCGCTTCGTTTGTGGCTTGCATTTGAGGAACTTGTATCCTAGATCAAATTGATGTGGTGTAAGTGAAAAGCATCTTAAGGAACTGTGTAGTTTCAGTGTCGGCAGTATCATTGCCTTCTTTTGTTTCAGAAAATAACATCCACGTTCACGACCTGCTCACGTTCCAGCAGATAACTGTTGTGTCCAAAGCCAGAGGAGCCACACTGTTTGCCTGTGACCTGCAGGTAGGTTAAAGAATCACTATGGCAAGTGATTGCAATTGTTCGTTTATGCTTTGACCCAGCGATCACATCTGATTTCTTATTTGTATTTATGTCTCTCTCTCTCTCTCTCTCTCTCTCTTTCTTCAGCAGTCTAGCTCAGGTGAGGCCAAACTGCGCATGTGTGTTGCAGTCAAGAGGAAAATTCAGCTGTATTACTGGAAGGACAGAGAATTCCATGAATTACAGGTCTTGAGGCTTGGAAACACAGAAATGAAAGATTGCTGGTAAGCCATAATGTTAGCCTAAATCATGTTTGGTCACTATTGCAGGGGGATTTCGCCGCTCCAGACATTCCCAAGTCCATGGCTTGGTGTGAGAACTCCATATGTGTGGGTTTCAAACGAGACTACTATCTGATCCGGGTAAGTCAAACAAATGTAGTTCTGCTTATGAATGTGTAGTTTGCAGTTTTGCCAGAAGAATGTCTATGTTAGCTAGCATCAATACAACAGCGGACAGTATATATCAGGTGGACAGTGAACAGACTGTGGCATTGCCATCTGAGGCCGAGACCAGATTTTCTCTCAAATTCTGCAGCTAACTGTATCACAATATGGATGTTCGTACACATATGTTTTTTTGGGGTCAGTCATGTGACTTTTCTCTTTAGATGGACGGACGTGGCTCAGTCAAAGAACTGTTCCCCACAGGGAAACAGCTGGAACCATTGGTGGCCCCATTGGCTGATGGGAAGGTCGCAGTGGGTCAGGATGACCTCACGGTTGTTTTGAACGAAGAAGGCGTCTGCACTCAGAAATGTGCCCTTAACTGGACGGACATTCCTGTTGCAATGGGTATGTATGATGTCAGTCTTAACGAACATGTTTCTCAGGTACTCATTAGCAACTTGCCAAACACGTTTGATCACGAGTTCAGTCCCTGTTAAAACAATGTGAACGACTTATCAGATCATCAAGGAAACTGGTGTCCAGTTACCATCTTGAAAATAAACATGGCTATTTTTAGTTTGTAATTCACATTTGTGTTATAATAAATAAATAAAGCAATACGCCCCAAGAAGCCGTGGTTTACAGTGAATTTATAACCGCTAAGATGCGTTGTTAGGCACGACGCGAAGCTTTTATAAAACGGTTATTCCATATACGTAGTAAGGTTTCACAAAATAAAACAGAGCAAATAGCAAATA